ATTTTGACATTATTTCAAAATAACTGCCTGCTGTGTAGATGCGGACTAAGTTATTTTGAAACTAGCTGGAGTTACCCGGCGTTGCTCGGGAAGGTGGAGCATTGTTGAAATAGAAGTTGACAGTTGATATAACTGAGGTGAGGAGCCTGAGGGGAGAGAGGGGGAAGGGAGCCACGTGCCTGATGCCGGCGCCTGAGCCCGCCCTCTGCTTCCTTGTCCCTCTGCCAGCCTTAGTAAGTGACTGTCCCCACCACTTCCCCCGGGAAGCCGCTTCTCCCTGCACCACCAAGCTCCGTGCAGCCCCGGGGAGAGGCATTGGTCTCTCATCTCTTCCCTCCCACAGTACCTTAAAACCTTCTCCTGGGTGAAAGGTTATCCCATGCAAAGTGTGGTTGCGGTAGCTCTTATAGTGTCCAAGTTATTAGTGCACAAACATACAAACATTCTCCTTTATGTATTAGATATCACAGGGTATTTCAAAATAATGTTGCTGTGTAGACATACCCTTAAAAAGAGAAGTAAGACAGACTTACTCTGGAAGAGTGTTTTTAAGATCTAACCACATTTAAATCAATGCAAACAAAAGAAACCGGATGCATCATATTGGACGTTATGAGTCTGGGAGCTGCTCAGCTCAGGATCAAGGAGGTGAAAGCTCTATAGGTCCCACTGCATTCTGGCTGGACTTCTGAGTTTGTAAAAGCAAAGGGGAAATCCTCTTCCCTCTCCCCTCAGTGCAGAAAACTATTTGGAGGGGTAAAGTGTGACATAAGTGGTACACAGACCTATGCACAGGGGAGAACTCAGTGCAGAATGATCACCTCTGCAAGCCACAGCCAGTTGTTTACAGTAAGGATGTGACAACCACACCACATACAGCTTAAGGAAACACTCTATAGAAAACTTGAGGAATCCCAGGGTATGTCTAAACTACGTGGCTCCGTCGATGGAGCCATGTAGATTTGTTTGTTCGGCAAAGGGAAATAAAGTCGTGATTTAAATGATCGCGGCTTCATTTAAATTTAAATGGCTGCCGTGCTGAGCCGACAAACAGCTGATCAGCTGTTTGTCGGCTCAGCACGGCAGCCATTTAAATTTAAATGAAGCCGCGATCATTTAAATCACGACTTTATTTCCCTTTGCCGAACAAACAAATCTACATGGCTCCATCGACGGAGCCACGTAGTTTAGACATACCCTGGGATTCCTCAAAAATCACGACAGTTTCCCCATCATAGTGAATTTGTTTCTACAATCCAGATCTCCTACAAATCACAGAAAACCTGCACTTCTTAGCAGTCACCCATGATTTCATGACTGAGAAATAAAACATTGATAGTGAATGGTGAGGGAGACCTCCAGACAAATATCATAGGAGGGATCCTGTTGAATATGTTGTGTGAATGGAGGCAGAGAAAAACAAGGCTAAGAAACTGCATACCAGAGGGGAATTTATCAGGTTACTACTACAGTTGTAGGTGAAGAGAAGAGCCAGAAAGCCCCGTCTTCAGCATCTGTTCACAAAGAAGGACTAAGGGCTCCCAAGAGGGGAAAAAAGACGCAAGAAAAAAAGAGTAGAAGGAACTGGAAAATTCATCAGAGACAAGAATGCCTGCCATGTACTCTGTCAGTCAGAGCATGGCTTTTGTCAGGAATAAGTAATCTTTAGCTAAACACACAACCTGTGCACATAATTATTCATTTGCCTAGTAGTTGGGAAAATACCAATGAGCCAGAATTAAATGTCTCTGTTTCATCCTTTTGAGATTTAAAAAAAAAAAAGATGACACTTAGGGCAAGCAGCCTGTGTGTACAGTGGGAATCATACTACAGTCTCATTTCAGACCTTCATAATTCAGTGAAACTAAATGAATTCAGATAAATTTACATTAGTATTTGACTGGCTGACAGTTCTCTTCAGCAGCCTGTGAATGCTTATCTTTCATTAATTATGGTTCAAAGGAAATTGCAACCTAAGATGGCTGAGTTAGTCCTCTTCTGTTACAAATTCATACCTAGTGCCTGGAAGGCCTCCAATCCTTCCCTCATTTCAGTCTCATCTCTAGACTGAATCCAACTCCCCAGGTGCATCTGGACAATTGTGTTGCTTACAGCTGCAGAATTTCAAAGGATGATTTTTTAGCAGATAAAATAAACTAAATAGATGACATGATGGCAAATATTTCTGTAGAAATGTCTACAGCCTCTCTCCTTTTGCCTGTACAAGCTTCTTGGGACAATGTATGTTATTTACATCCATCTTGTATGTACCACACTGAACACTGTGGTCGGCCAGCACAGAATACAAAATCACTTCACTAGACTGATACGAACATGGCATCTACTGATTTCAGTAGAGCTATACTGATTTACACCAGCTGTGGTCTGTGAACCTTTCCCAGCCCTCTTGATTGTGTAAGTCCACATAAGCAGACAGACCTTTGAAGAGGGTGCAGGAAATCACACCCTTAAATTTGAATCACTCACCCCAAAAAGGAACAATAATGAATTTAAAGACACAGTTGTATCGTGTAAAGGATCACTAAGAAATAACATGGGCAATTTGCTTGCCTTTGAGGATTCTCTTTTTGACTGAGCCCTGCTTCGAATCACATGCTACCTCCCCCCAATCCCTCTAGTTTCACGAACTCTTCTATTTCACAGACTAAATGGAATATAGAAGCAGCAAAACGTAGCAGAGCACACAGCCGCACTGGGATGTATGCAGTCTGGGTGGGTTTGGGGCTGTGTGCCTCCAGACGCTAGCTCATTCAGACCTGGGAGGGTCCTGCTCTTATACATGTCTGCTGCGCACATTTTCCCCCCTAAAAGTGCAGAATAATTGGGCACGCATTCACTTCTGTGTATTAAAAGACATTTCGTATCTCTATCGGGCCTGACAATCTCCTGTAGAGGGACACAGCTCATTAGAAGATACAAATCTGTAAGGACACGGTGCAAGGACAATCAGTGTTAGATTATCTCTACCAGGTCACTTCCGATAGAACCCTGGGCACCTTAACAGTAATAATTAGCACTTAAAAGGTGCTGTGAAGAGGTGCTGTCCCTGCATGCCCCACAAGTCATGCTGTGGCAGCCCTGCCTCAGTTTCCCTAATAAACTCTGCCAGGCACAGCAAGTTATGGATGTGGCTTTGCTATCCTGCCCAGCCACTGGAAGAGTTCAACACTGCAGCTGGGAGCCACCCAGCCCCAGCAGACAGACTCACGTTAATTAGCTCCAATTAGTGTGCTAAAAATAGCAGCATGATTACTGGGCTCTGGTAGCAGCTCAGACCCTGGAGCCACCTGACCCCTCCTGGGTTTGAACTCAGCTGGCCAGCTCGAGTCTGTGTCAGAGCCCCAATGTCTGCACTGCTGCTTTTAATGTGCTCGCTCCCATCTGCCTGCCCAGGCCGGGAGGCACCTCGCTGCTGTATAAACATATCCCAAGCCAAGGTTCAACATAACCCCAAACCAAAAGACTCTTTGGCCCCGCTGGACTCAGCTGGCAGCCCCCTTCCTTTCAGGCAGGCCCCAGCTGCAGCAGCTCGCCCTAAGACCCGCCACCTGGTAAAGGCCAGACTAACAGCTGGTGCCAGACCTACCCTCTCTCAGGGAGACCCCAGGCTGCCTGAAGTCTGCTCCCCGCATGGCATAGGAGCTGTCAGCCTGCTTGGCCACCCTGTCTGGCCCCACCTGAGACGGCTCTGGCCTTTTAGCTACCCGCTCCCAGCCTGACAGCTCAAGCAGGTGAAGTGAATGAGGCTGCTCATTAATCGGTCCTGACCAATGTGGGGTTCACATACCCCCTGCCACGCACCTCTCATGGGAGGATCTCAAAGCACTTTATGAAGGTGGTGTAAGTATTATCCCAATTTTACATATGTGGAAATGGAGGCACACAAAGGCCCAATGGATAGTGCCGGAGCAAGAAGTTCATTACTTACCCACTGAAGTGGTTTGGTATATAAGAGAAGCACAGTCTTCCCCCACCCACAGTCCAAGCACTGTGCATTTGCCCTTCTCTCACAGCCAATCTAAGGGGAGAGAGGCTAATTCAATCTCCATGCCCAAATTTAGACTGCCCTGGCATACTCACCGGCGATGTTCAGCTTGAGGTTCCTCATTGCCATTTGGAGAGGAGCTACTGACACACACAACCTCGTTCAACTTTCACCTCTTGGGATCAGGCCTGATCCTGACTCATGTTACACACATTGGCTGTGTCTAGTGTCATCTGATTTTGCGGAAAAACTTGCCAGCTGTCTACACTAGCCGCTTGAATTTCCGCAAAAGCACTGACAATCTCATGTAAAATCATCAGTGCTTTTCCGGAAATACTATGCTGCTCCTGTTCGGGCAAAAGTCTTTTTCCGAAAGACTTTTGTGCAAAAGGGCCAATGTAGACAGCACAGTACTGTTTTCCGCAAAAAAGCCCTGATTGCCATTTTCGCGATCAGGGCTTTTTTGCGGAAAACCGTGTCTAGATTGGCCACAGACGCTTTTTCGCAAAAAGTGCTTTTGCGGAAAAGCATCCTGCCAATCTAGACGCGATTTTTCCGAAAATGCTTTTAACAGAAAACTTTTCCGTTAAAAGCATTTTCGGAAAATCATGCCAGTGTAGACGTAGCCATTGTGTGCCACCCCCTGGCATACACACTGAGGTCAGCGTGGGAGCACATGTCTGGTTTGCAAGCTGTGCTGGCCTCGTTTCAATATCATTAAGTTAAAACACTCTGAAAAATAGGCACCCCTTCAGTAGTGAGGTCACACACATTGTGCTCAAGGCAATCCAAGAACTGGTGCAGAATTACAAGGAAGAGGCTGCTGTTGATAGAAAGGCAGTTTGTAGAATGCTACCAGACTTTGGAAATGCTTCATATGCATGCACAGAACTGAGGCCATCTTTCTTCCAATGATGTGTCATTAGACTGGGACGATACATGCTCTTCTACTGTCTGTGAACCACATCTGTCGGCTTCTCCTCAGAACGCTTACCTTTGGGCACATCCATGGGGTTTAGGCTGCCAATCAGATCTCTGACATAAAGTCCATCCCCCTCATCCTTGCTCAGCCAGTTGTTGCAAGAAAAGTAAAACCGGAGGTGAGGCCTATTCATGTCAGTGACTACTACACGGTCCAGGAACCAGCTTGCGTTCATTCCCGTGTTGTCATGCTCAATTCTACAGCACAAAAAAGGAACAAAATATGCCAAGGGTTTTAGTTTGGTGGGTTGATTTTGGACAGTGACTGGCATGTTGATTCAGTGGCACATTTCATATTAGGCAGGGTCAGAGGAGTGGCAACAAATGGGGAAGTGATGGGTGGCAAATGCCCCCCAGGTTTTGGCAGTTGCTCAAAATTCCATAGGTCACAGAGTCAAGGAGGCAGCAGGTTTAAAACAAGCATAAAGAAGTTTTTCTTCACTCAGCGCACAGTCAACCTGTGGAACTCCTTGCCAGAGGATGCGGTGAAGGCTAGAACTTTAACAGGGTTCAAAAAAGAGCTAGATAGATTCATGGAGGTTAGGTCCATCAATGGCTATTAGTCAGGATGGGTAGGAATGGTGTCCCTAACCTTTGTTTCTCTGGAAGTGGGAGACAGGGGAGGGATCACATGAGGTTTACCTGTTGTGATCCCTCTCTTTGGAGCATCTGGTATTGGCCACTGTCAGCAGACAGGCTACTGGGCTAGATGGACCTTTGGTCTGACCCAGTATGGCCGTTCTTATGTTCTTAAGAAGGAACAATGGCCTGATCACTTTTAAGCAGCAGTCCCATGCTACAGCAGGATGGCTGCTACCAGACTGGATGCTGCCAATTTTCCCAACTGGATGCATTCATGGCAATAGCACCTAGTTGGGAAAGCTGGCGAACCAAGACATCACACAGATCTGATGGAGAGTGGGGCTGGCCACGTGGTGTTGTAACTGACCCATGGAGAGTACGGCAGAATGAGAACTCCCAGTGACACTGGCTCGTGTTCTGTGGGGGTTACTGATCTATAAAGCAGGAGGCCGAACCTTGGTAATAAGAGACTGAATCAACTGATTGGATACAATATTATTGTAACAAACATGTACAGAGTGAGGTCTTTTCTGAAAGCCAATGACATGCTGGTGATTATGATCATTGTGAAATGCACATATTAACATAATAGGATGAATTATAAATAATTGTGGATGTTATGTTTTGAAGTTTCTGAGAGAACAAAGCAAGGAACAGTTCTCCTCTAGAAAGGGGCTGAGCCAACACAATTAGTACTATTATTACTTGTAGTGCAGTAATTCAGCACAGAGAAACAAGTAATCAATGCAAAACATCATTTGCCTCAATGGAACAAAGATACAGGCCTAAATCCTCTCCAATGATTACAGTGTCATTGAATATGGCAGATATACAATCTATATTAGGGAACATTGATATTTATTGTGATACTGTAGGTAATAGCACACTTCAGTTCCAGTCTTTGCCAGCAGATAAGCTGTTTCCACCTGTTAACTTCACCTTGATAGCAGTATATTCTTCAACCATGAATAAAACATTCAAACTCTAAAACTTTATGGCCTGTCATTTGTTTAGCATCTTGCTGTACTATGTCTAGTAGTGATCATATTATACGATACCTTATCTTCTTTATTTGTCCAACATTGTTGGTTTTTATTCGGAACACATCTGTTTTACTTCTCTCAAAGGCAGTCCTACTCCTGTAATATACACATACCAAAACACATGTTAAGAAAATAGTTACTGTGTCAGCAAATACATCATCACAGACCCATCAAGGATCAGAGTTTAAAAATTAAGGACCCTCATTTCTGTTATTGTTACTTTTCAATATCCTCATTCCTTTGGAAAGGTCTGAATGTACTGGGATTTTTTTTTTAACGTTTCCATTCTTAACAGGTCTGGACATCTTGACAGATCTGGAGATACAAACTCAGAATCCAAAATGCCAGCTTTAGAAGAAATGCAATGTTGTGCCAAATGGATGCCAATCTGGGGTCATATTCTAAATCAGCTAAAGAGTATCTTTCACAAATTAAACAACCACCAGTATAGAAAAGAGCTGCAGTAAGAGTGGTTTGCTATTTTGCAAATGACTTTCAGAGATCACAAAACAATCTTTTGTGAGGACATTTTTACACCACTCCATTCATCTGTAAAATTCCAGGCTATTGCCAGTATCTCTTCTCCTGTTCTTGAATTCATCTAAAATTACCCGGGTAGATACTAAAATACAACACTGGGGAAAGGTGTAGGGCCTGGTTCTCTATCAGACTACGTCTACGCTACAGGCTTCTTGCACAAAGAAGCTTTTTGTGGAACAGATCACACTACAAAAGCTCATTGGAAAAGCAATGCGCTTTTGAGCAAGAGAGCATCTAGACTGCATAGACACTCTCTCGAAAGAAAGCTCTGATGGCTATTCACAGAATAGCCACCAGAACACCTGTGCTTTTTTCGATTGGCTCTTTTTGTGCAAAACACCCCAGTTGCCCGTCCACACACACACTTGGAGGAATGTGTAGAAAGAGGAATGGCTACACCGCAAAAACCCCTCTGTTCTTTTGATTTACTGTAAATTTACTTGTGCAAAAACGCACTTGAGGTGTGGACGCTCCACGGGTTTTTGCAGAAAAACCCTGTAGTGTAGACGTAGCCTCAGTTTGCACCTTGTGTTGTCATACAGACTAGAGTGAATCGCACATTCAGAATGATGGTAGATTTTTTTTTCCACAGACTTTGCTTTGGCCTGGATAACTAGGCAAGGGAGAAAGCATCAGCGAAACAGGCACCTTGCCTTACAGAAGCCTCTTCTCATTTCTCTGCTGTCTGGGGCAGATGTGATGGATGAGAGACCAGGGAGTTCAAAGAACTATATTGAAAACATGCCAGACTAGTATGGACTTTTGGGGCAATACATGAATTTCCTGGGGATCCTTAGTGAGGGGTTAATGCAAATCCCCCAAATTCCAATTATGCAAAAATCCAGCGTGTTGAAGCCACCACTTGAGAAGAGGGTCATAGTCTGCTAATTGACTATTCCAGAAGGCCAGGATCAAGTGATATTATAAAGAAATGCCTGATCTACCCCATCTCTGTTCTGGTTTGGGATTTAAATGGATGAACTTGTTCCCACCGAGAAATTCAGTTGTGGGTTTGACTGACTAATCCTTACCAGAGTCCCAGTTTGAAGTTGGGGTGACCACTGGTGAGCTTTTCAGCCTGAGTAAATGCTTTTCTGTTTTAACGTGCACTCTCTCTGTGTCATGCTTTTCCTTAAGAGCAGATGCAGATAAAGCTTTCCTGGGGGCCCCTTTCTACCCCTTCCACTTCTGGCCTTGCCCCCATTCTGCCCCCTTCTGCCTCTGGCCCCACACATAGCCAGACACCCAACTCTATCAGAACCAGGTGTGGCAGCGACTGATCTAAACCAGTGTCTGGAGGCAGTGATGGACTGGAAGAAGTCAAATAAGCTGAAATTGAATCCAGATAAGACTGAGGGCTTTGGATCAGGAGGCCATCTGTTTGGGAATGTGGCATGGCACCTGTTCCAGTCAGGGTTAAGCTCGCCTGAAAGAACAGATACGCAGCTTGGGAGGAACATTTGAGAACCAGATTTCCTCGGTGGCCAGGAGTGCTTTAGGGCAACTTTGGCTGATCCGCCATCTGAGACTCTTCCTGAATAAGCATGACTTGGTCTCAGTGATCCACGTTCTTGTTATATCCCGATTGAATTATTGCAATGTGCTTTATGTGGGGCTGCCTCTGAAGAGCCTTCGGAAACTTCACCTGGTCCAAAATAAGTTTTAACTAATACCCGTTATACGGAGCACATTATGCCGGTGCTTCGGCAGCTTCACTGGCTTCTGGTATGTTTCTGGGCACAATTTAAGGTCTTGGTTATGACTTATAAAGCCCTAAACGGGTTGGGTCTGGAGTATCTGAAGGACCGTCTTCTCCCCTATTAGGCAGGGACCCATGCAGCCCCAGGAACCCCACTGAGGAGGGAGTGAGACATGATTCCCATCTCACCCAACGGAGGTGATGGCTCGGAGCCGGAAAACTGAAGTGGATGCCTTTCATGACCTCAGAGAGGGAATTCACGTGTCCTGAAATTGTGACAGTAGGTAAACAGGATAGTCCAGTGGCTAGGACACTGAGGCCAGATCTATACTAGACCCAGAAGGTAGGCTTATGGAATGCAACTCCAGCTATGAAAATAGCATAGCTGGAGTTGACATATCTTAAGCTGAGCTTGGTGCCGTCTTCAAAGCAGGAAGCCAACAGGTGCAAATACTCCCATTGGCTTCCCTTACTACTCATGACTGTAAGGAGTACCAGTGTTGACAGGAGGCACCCTCTGCATTTGATTTAGCATGTCTTTCCTAGACCTGCTAAATCGAACGCCAGAAGATTGATCTCCAGTGCGGTAAGTATAGACATGGCCTGAGAGTCAGGGCATCTGGGTTTCATTTCCCACTCTCCCAACTAAGAGTGGGGACTGGAAGTCAATTCATCCTTCTGTGTGTATCTGTTATCCATACACACACAGTTCCTTTGCTGAAGGCAGACAAACTTGTTATAGGCCTGCAAATCCGTGGATATCTGCTTTATATCTATGGGTATCTGCAGCCACAGATGTAAATGTAGATATCTGCAGATCATTTTTGCAGATATGAATGAGGATACAAATTTTGTATCCATGCAGGGCTCTATGCTCAATTTGTACAGTGCCTAACACAAGATGGTACCATTTGAGATTCAGAACGCTAGGTACCACCTTACTACTAATGAACAGATCCAACAAAAAGCCATCCTCCACCAAAACAAAACAAAACAAAAACTCACAGCACATCACCAGTTTCAGTAGCAAGCAACTCATTCTCAAAAGTCAATGAATATAAATAATCTGAGCAACAGCCTCCAGGTGTACTCAGACCTTTCTCCTCACCACGCTAGGATATGGGCATGCCTCCATGTAAAGGTGGTTTGTTTTATATTCTGCAAGCACCTGGGTAGATTTCATCCCCAGTACTGACATCGAGCATATTGTGCTAGCCATTGTTGTTACAGAAAAGAGTTAACCTTACCAGAACACTATGGCAAGAGACAATTAAACCCAGAGCTTCCCTCAACTACAGCTTGGCTGTCAAACTGAAAACAATCAGCAAGTGCAAGGCAATTAGTTTGCTAGTGGTGAATGAACATGGTAATGATAGCAGCGTCTTCCTGCTCATAACCTGCAGATCGGTACTGTACTGCAGATTCCCAAAGTACTACAGCCGTGATGAAAGTATCAACTGCAGTTAATTGTCCAAAAGCTTTCAGCCCACTAATTTGAATTGCTGCTGATTTACAGCATTCATGTAACACTAATGTCTGAAAGCTGATATTAAGCTTCCATGTGACTTCATTATGTTTGTGACACCAGCACACTTGTGCAGTTTCAAGATGCAGAAAGAAAACTCAGCATATACTCAGCAAAGAGCATGTGTCTGAGCTCACTGCCTCAAATAGTTTCAGAGTGTATGTATCACTTGTCTAGAAGGTGCTCGTGGAGGGATCTGGAGGCAAACTGCTGGAAACATGTAATTGTAAACTGTGACTGGAATCCAATGAGCATTTAAAGTCTCCCTGCCCTTCCACTGAATGTAAAACGTCAACAAAATGAAATTGAATGCTTAGCAAAAAACAAATAGTCTTTGTACTTAGTAGTGTTGCTTACATACAGTGCAGGAAAAATACAATTGGCAAACTAATTTGTATAAAATTACAAAAACTAAAAAGGAAAAGGAGAAATTATAGTGTGCATCTGCTCCAGACCCATCAATACTGGAAGTGACAGCGAAAAATTCCAAGACCTATTATCACTAAGGAATTTGACACTATAGGATAATGTAATCATGGGAGACTGTAATTGCCAAGATCTCTAGTGCTAAATAAAGTAGAGGAAAACTTGAATTGAAAAGTTCAGCTCCAGATTTCTGAGGTGTTCATATATGAGGTTGTAGACATGACTAGACATTAACAAAGTATTTGACATGACATCTCACATAATTTCTCTTGAAACATTAATTCACATTAGCTTGGGATTACAAGTGCTAGGTTTCAGGCTGGGTTTTATTTCTCATTTCTAGTAATGATCTGGAAATTGTGGATTTGACTTTAACAGCTCTACAGAGTAATAGAGTGGGTAACAGAATATAAAAACTAGAGCTGAGTGAATAATTCACAATTAATAGCACATGAAACAATTTTCACTAATGAGTAGAATATGAAATTCTCAAATATATCTGTTATCCAAAGGAATTCATTCAAATAAATCCAATGCCTCTCTCACACAGCAGTTCAGGCCAGATCAGTGGTTCTCAAGCATGTTAGAGACAAGATACAGCTTCACTCCCCTTTTGTTGAACCAACTTCTATTAGTGAGAGAGAGAAGCTTTGGAGATTACAACAGTCCTGCTAATACATCCCAGAATGATGTGTACTTCTTTTGCAACAATATTACATTATTCATTCATTTTAGCTAGTGATCCACTATAATGTGTCGTCATTCTGCTGACAAAATGATAAAACAGAAATCTATTGAAAGTACCGCATATGGCTGATGAACAACAGAAAACATCCCAGACAGGAAATGTACCAGCTGAAAAGTGTACCAAGTACAAGCATCAGGGATGCTGGAACACAGGGGGAA